TTATCCAAAGTAGGTATCTTTTTTTGTAAATAAAACGAATGCACTTTTCTTCGGATCAGTTGTTTCATAGTACCGTCTATTTGAATGGGTTTTCTCCCAGTTGACGTTTTAGGTGCTACTGTAATACTTCCATCCTTTCGTTGCTTCAAAAGTCTCTAAACGGTTGCTTCTCCAACTCCAGTCATATTGGAACACTTAGAAACTATACTCCTAACAGTAATATTGAAATGATCATGTACAATTGTGTCATGTACATTTAACATTAAAGTTTTCATATGCACTGATAAATTGCACTTTAATTTGACAGGAGTATAATTAGATGTTTGCGCCATTCTTATTGAACAAATTCACTTGATCAATATCGCTTTTTATCGTCTATTATTAAAGAACTAATAATTCTGCGTGTTACAATCACAGGACTAATAAACAGAAATGTAAATCGTAACTTAAATAATTTACAATCTGCATAACACTTTCTGCAGATTAGAAATTTTAATCCTTTCTAAGAAAGTTAAGGGCTACTTAAATTGATCTTGAATTGTAAATATTTTCTACCTGTAGATATTGCATACTTACCTTATTTTTGTTGATTAACACGTTAACTGCCATGTGTACTATTTCTGGATACAGCTCATTTTAACTGTTCGCCATATGCACCTTACGAGGACACATGCGTTATAAGTTTTTCGGCCGTCTGTACATGCGACGGCTGTACTTCGCGTTGATTTAAATGCATGTACCGTTAGGTCTGGCGTGGGAGTGTACTATGTAGTAAGTAATAGCTTCCGATTGTTTTTAAAACTTAAAAAATTTGTAAGAAAACTGAACTTTCAAATAAAAACGTGATAACTAAGATTAGAAAAGGATAAACATAAGTAGCAAAATGAAAATTTAGTTTAGTTTTTTAGATTCATGTGTTGATGTGTCTATATGTGGTACGCATAGCGCATGTTCATGCACCGTGTGCACCAAAACTGCATACAGCAGTTTTTCAAAAAAACATTAACTTTTTGTATTGTAGTCACTAATAAACCACTTCCTTTTTGTTTTGGAACAAATAATGCTAAACATTTTATTTTAGAAATTTTTCGTTACTGATTTATGATGTTATATTTGAATTTATATTCTGGGTCATAAACATTTTGCTATCATTAATTTTCAAATATACTTATAGTCTCCATTTCAATGTTTTAAAGCGATTCAATACTAAAATCTCATTATTACAAATGGGTTTGTAAATACTGCCGGTGCCGCCCTGTTTACTATATCTTAATAATGTAATAATAAGCAAAGGTAAACCCAATTTTTACAAGCTGCGGTTCAAGCGAGACGGCACTGCAGCCCTCTATACTTTTGGTGCCGTCATTTGATAGTCTCATTACATATGGTCTAAGATCCGAAATAAGGTTGACCTTTCACCCATCTGTTTAATGGATGAAAGTTTCTTTTTATTAAATAAAATATGTTTATAAATATATCGCAAATAAGAAGATACGGATTTGTCTCCTCACCGCGGACCTACAAATAGAACGTATTGATTGTAGAATTAATCTTGGCATCGTGAATATATTTTATCAATGAATGGTTATCTCTCTTATCTCTGTTTGTTATCAGCGTTCTTAGTAGTTTAGAAGTTAAAGAATGATCCCTATGATAGGGGACAAAGCTCGATAGGTATAGCGTTTATTGTACCTACTCGCCACCTATGATGCCACTATGTTGAAAATTAATAGTTGGTGTGGCGAATCAATCGCTTGATGAATAGGGCCGGTAGGGTTGTAAATAGGGTCCGATTACAATAAAAAGAACACCGCTACATCATAGCTATTATTTCGAATTTCCAATATATATCATCTATAATTATCAATAAATAAAGAATACGTGAGTTTAAAAATATTATTCCTATTATATTTTTATAATATGAACACGCCACTAAACCCCCAGTATGCGGTGATAGTCAACGAATCTCCGTTCACCTTATTGTAATCGAATCCTACCCAGTGTAGCCAACCTTGAAGTAAGTTTTTATGAAAAAATTCCCTCCTATTAATAAAATCGGTTTTATACCAGAAATACCATTATTTATGGAATAATTAAAAATGAACCTAAATTGTAAACTGCCATTTATTTGTTAAAAATGTATGTATTTCATCGCGAGTTTTGGAGTTGGATAGCTTTTTTCTTCGTCTCTTAGAAACCACGCCTTTATTTTGCCATTTGCTAATACTATACAGGGCATTTTACAAAGTGTGCACCCATCTAAAATTCACAAAATTTTTATTTGGGATTTGGGAAGTATGAGCGTGTAAAAATTTAAATTTTTTGGACCGTTGGTTACAGCTTTCCTTTGAGTAGCTCCTGTATCAGTTTCATCTCAGTGCCGTACGTGATAAATAAAAAATAGGGTTTTTCAAAAATCTTTCTTTAGACAAAAACACTCTAATTTTTAGGTCTTTTTTTGCCATAAGGACTTTTAATTATCAAGGATGGTAAAGCTGCAGTTAATGTAATTTATTTATACAAGGTGATTCAAAAGTACTCAAGCTTAAATTTAAAGATTTTTATAATTTGTTTTATTGGAATAAAAAAACAAAGAAAAAACTACCAATCTTAAAAACCCGTTAAGCCTTAACCTCGCCTTATATCAATACTGTACAATGTACATGCCATAACACCATAACACAATAATAGCAATAATGCGTACATACAAACAATACTTGCACCATTGGTTTTTAAAGTTAAGTTGGCTTTTAGATGGTTGATGTTTTTTTACTCTGACGTAATTTAGTGAGAGTGACAGTAGAGTAATTTAGAGTAATAGTTATCTGTTAAGATATACCTATTAATTAGTCAGGTTTTCATGTGCCTACGGTTTTAAAATTATGAATAATAACCGCTTTATTACCCCAGAAGAGGACTTTTTGAACAGGGTTGTTCGCAGAGCGATATTGGACGAATTATGGGAAAAACTCAAGGGGCTATTTCAAAAATATTAAAAAGATGTTGTGAAACTGTATCCAATCAAAGAAGAGCAGGTCAGGGCCGGCATAGAAAAACTACTCTTAACCAGACTCGTTTCCTAACTTTGCAGTGTCTCAGGGAACGATTTACATGCACAACAAAGTTACAAGCACGTTTGGCCAATGTACATAATGTAAGAGTGTGCAAACAAACAGTTTTTAAACGATAAAAAGAAACCTAGCTACAACCCTACGAAGCATCGATTGAACCAAAGTTAGAGAGACACCACAGGTTTCAAAGATTCCAGTTTGCTCGGGAGCATTTGCCGTGGGGTTTTGGGGTTTTGCCTTTACAATAATGATAGATGCGTAAAAGTGTATAGAAGACCTGGCGAACGGTATGCACAATGCAATTTTAAAGGGCGTGTTAGTTACGGAGGGGGTTTGGTAATGGTTTGAGGAGGTATTTCATTAAGGGCAAAAACGGACCTAGCTTTTGTAGAAAGTTTAATGGCTGACCGATACATTGCGGAAATTCTGCAAGAGCATGTCGTACCATTTGCTCCATTTATTGGGGAAGACTTCCTGTTTATGAATGATAATGCACCACCGCATTCGGCAAGAGTAGTAAGGGAGTATTTAGATGAATCTAATATTGCCGTAATGGATTGACCAGCCCGAAGCCCAGATATTAACCCCATTGAGCATTAGTGGGATAAAATGGGTGTTGACCTTCGTGAGGCACTTAATCCATCAGAAACGTTGGAGCAAGTACAGTGGGCTCCACAGCGTATATGGAATAATATTGACCCTATGTTTATACGGAATTTAATACTTAGCATGCCGAATCGCTGCCAGAGTGTTCATAAATTTAGTTTTGTATTTTCGTCTTTGTTTTTTATCCCCAATAACCCAATAAAACAAATTATACAAAATCTATAAATTTAAGTTTGAGTACTTTTGAATCACCTTGTATAAATGACTTACATTAACTATAGCTTTACCATCCTTTATAATTAAAAGTCCTTATGGCAAAGAAAGCACTAAAAATTTGAGTGTTTTTGTCTAAAGAAAGATTTTTGAAAAACCCTATTTTTTATTTATCACGCACGGCATCGAGATGAAACTGATACAGGTGCTACTCAAAAGAAAGCTGTAATCAACGGTTCAAAAAATTTCAATTTGTACACGCTCGTACTTCCCAAATCCCAAATTAAAATTTTGTGAATTTTACGTGGGTGCACACTTTGTAAAATGCCCTGTATAATATTGGCAAATGGCAAAATAAGGGCTTGGTTTCTAAGAGACGACGCAAAAAGCTATCCAACTCCAAAACGCGGTGAAATACATGCCTTTTTAACAAATATATGGCAGTTTAAAATTTAGGTTCATTTTTAATTATTCCATAAATAATGGAGCATGTATATACTTTAAAAAAATATTTATTAAAAGAAAAACGAACATACATAAAAATTATAATCTTAAAAACAAATCTTTCAAAACTTTAAGAATACGTCAAAGAATTAACAATTTTAATTTTATTTATTTTTAAAATCATACATTTTTTACAATTTGGAGTCAAGTAAAAATTCCCGTTTTGGCTTTTTTGGGGGGATTCCGTCTCATTTAAAATTTGTTGATAATTTAAAAAAACTATAATTAACAATTATTTAGGAATTTGTGCATAGAAAAAAACATATTTTAACATATATGTATGCCGAATATTTATATTATCTCTTTGTAGCAGTTAGAGGTATTAATTATAACACCTACTAGTGAAATATTATATCTATGCATGTATTATTAACTACATGAGAAGTAAATAAAATTTTTGAAGAATGCGTATGCTCTTAACTTTTCGGGTTAGTTATAATCCCTCAAGTGCGCTACTGGTTTTGAACCGTAAACGATAGATTCAGGTCCTTACCTATTTAAAATCTATTGAACATTTTTTTTTTTTTAGTTTATTTTCTACTGAACAAGATGCCTATTAGTGAAGACGAAATAGACTATAACAGATCCCGAGAACCGCAATCAACGATGTCGAAAGCTGAAATTAGAAAAACCCACAAACCGATTATGGAAAAAAGAAGAAGAGCCAGAATTAATCATTGCCTGAATGAAATCAAAACATTAATTTTAGAAGCCATGAACAAAGACGTAAGTCAAAAAGTAATACATCAATTAGAAATTCCGAGCAAAAAACATTTTATTTTTTGGAATACCCAGACTTATAAGGAAGTTCAGGAATTCTAACAAAAAAATTAAATAGTGAATTGTATGAATGTATGTACGTTAACTTAAATAATTAGAAATCACCCATATCTGTCCATATCTCGGAAACAGTTTATCTATTATTTCTTATTTCACTTATTCCTGTTTTTTTTTCTATTTTTAAACAATTAATTATATTTAAAGTATCATTGCTTATAAATATTATTTATTGTCCACAAATTCAAAATGATTTATTTTATGTATTTGTGATTAATACTTGAATAATATGCTAAATACACAAACGACAACTCGTTATATCTCAACCAACCGTTTTATTGAAGAAGAAAAAACTAGAATAGTTATAATTCGACCAAGCAGTTAGCAAAGTACTACCGTAAAATGGGGTGACTTGAAACAATTTTGACTTATTTAGAGCTGTAATTTAAGGATTTTAAGAAATTAGGCAATAAAAAAAATTGGCCACATAATTTTTACCGGTGCCCTTGGTTGTCTTTAATGTTACAGCCACATATTCTCCAACTAGAGGAATTGTTCTTTTCCAAAATTTTCCTCGCCATTTTCGTTTTCATTATTGTTAATAACTTCTGAGAGAAATTTCTTCTGTATCTTGTTCTTCTTCCGGGAGAGTATAATCGTTTTTCTTTTGTGTATCTTGCTTGGCCCTTTCCTTTCAAACTGTCTTTCTTTTCTTAACCTTTGGTTTCGGAACATTCTCCTTTCCTTTTTCCTTTAGTTGGTCGTAGGAAATACTTTCACCTGGTGCAACTGTCAATTTTTTTCTTTTTTCCCGAAGTAGATGGTTCCTGAGGATTTCCGTAACGTGCATATTGAAATATCTCGGACATCGATACTACAATGTTGTCTTCAACAGCTTCTTGTTCTATATTTTCATTTTCTTTCAGAAGCCTTTTAAGAATCTTCTCTCTATCCAAAGGAAGTAGGCTAGTAGCCATGAAGCCACCTTTTATATTTTTCTCATTGGCTTTCGTATTCTGTAGAGCTTGATTCAACAGCCTAGGAAATACGTCTTTTCTTACAACACCCTTGTTATGCCTCTTCCATGCTTGAAGAGCTTTTCGCCACTGTTGTTTTATGGGCCTAAACACGCACACATCTAACGGTTGAGTTACGTGTGTGCTATTGGGTGGCAGTAAAATAAATCTGATGTTATTCGATTCGCATAGTTGTATGACGTTTAGTGATAGGTGTGAAGCTAAATTGTCTCCAATAATTACTTTGGGTCCTGGTGACAATGTCTTGAAATATGGAAGAGCGGTAGTTACGAACCAGTCTTCAAATAAGTGCATATTGAACCAGCCTGATGAACTTCTGTTGTATCGAGCTTTTTCTGGACCCCTCTCAGTCCATGTGGTCCATAGATGGTCTGCTATATAAACAACGTAGACAAGCAACATTACTCCTGAGGCAGAACATGAAAACATAACAGATGTTGCGGATTTTGAGGTGTCTTGAATTTTTTCGGCCCTTTTGGACTTTCTGCGAACAATAACTTTGACCCTTCCTGGGTCATCGGTAAAATTAGTTTCGGTAAAATTAGTCTACTAAGGATACTGATAAATGGTCAAAATATTGATTTATTATGGCATAGTTGATTTTAGCTCTGCTTTGTTTAATTGACTGTGAGAACCTAGTGGATATCTCATTTCCGTGTCGCTCAATGAAACTCATATCCCAAGTAACAATTTGATATTTTATAAAAGATGAAAAAATGTTTACAGAACAAAATTTATAAAATAGAATATTAGCTAAGAACATTTCCGGAACATTCTTTCAACAGTAATAAACACAAAATGGGCGCAGTATTACAGAACTATTTGGTTCTTTTGTAAATTCTATAAGATTTGTTGAATGCAGTTACCGAACAGTTACTACACATTTACACAGACTTTAAACAAATGTTTTTTTAAAGTTTTATAACTGTTTTATAAATTTTCAATTTTGAGGTTAGGTTGCATATCAAAATCAGTAACATTTTAGTTTTTTAAATGTATCTGGTGAAAACAAATTAATTCTATATTTGTCATAAAAGTAAATTCAAGGCGATATTAGTAAAATGGCAGTATCTACTTAAGAGATATCTATAACGCGGTTTAGACATAATGTATGACCTACAATAAAGTCGTTTTTGGATGCGCAGCAAGAATTACTGTTAATTATATAGCACATACAATACTAAATTTTTAAGCGCCTCGAGTTTGATTCATATTTCTAATACTTTTTCAGTGTGAAACAAAAATTAAATTTATGAAATTTGATTTTTTTAGTAATAAGATTATGCTAATATTACTAATGATTAAAATCTTTAATTAACATTGGTTTTGTCTTAAATACTAGTAAAACCGACAGTAGATTTAGCTTTAAAACTGTCTTAGGTTTTTGTTAAATATGGCAGCTATTCAGAGGTATTAGAAAGTTATTTTAAGACTGAATCATAATTATAAAATATTATTGTAGTAAAAACAGCTGTAATACAATAATTAAGTTGTACTACTCATTTCTACAAAACAAGTTCATCATATAACATAACATTGTATAATAATTTCATATTGCTGCACTATATGACAAAATATAACATAACCTTACTAAATCGTTTCCGATTTAAGTACGCTTTAAAATATGAATTATGTGAAGTACGTAGTCTACAGAAAGCATTAATACAATATATTATTGATTCTCATAACTATTAATATTTTTGCTACCAAATAAAAGATGGCCTTGCAATTTGTTTCAAGTCACCACAATGTTTCATTTCACCCCATTTTACGGTATTTGTTTTTACGAGATGAAAATGCATCACTCGATTTGTTCTACTGTTCGCTAAATATGGAAATTATAATTTGTCATTGACCCCAGATAACACTTTGAGGAACCTTATAAATTCAGTTAAAAGAAAATTTATTTAATTCATATTAGATAAAGTATAACGCTTCTTAAGATTATATTTTTGCCTGTAAATAACTTATTTTACTATAATATTCCATCAATGCCAGTTGTTTAATTATAAAACTTTTCAGCCTTCTCGTCATACAAAATTAGAAAAAGCAGACATCTTAGAAATGGCCGTTAAACACCTCCAAAACGTTCAACGACAGCATCTGGCCTTATCTATGGCGTCCGATCCGTCAGTTTTGCGAAAATTTAAAACAGGGTTCAATGAATGCGCTGCCGAAATAGATAGATACATGAACCAAGTAGACGGCGTTGAGACCACCATGAAGCTAAGAGTAGCGAATCATCTTCAAAAATGCATCGGAGGAATAGAACAGGTTACTCAGTTTTCATTTGCAGGATTTGGAAATGTTTCCTTAGTTTCTGGATCTGCTCCACAAGCTGGATCCAATCTTGGAGATCAGAATAATAATCCAAGAATTCAAATTCCTCAAGGTATTCAGTTGATTCCTAGTAGATTACCAACTGGAGAACTGGCGCTTTTAGTTCCAAATTCTCGGAATATTAATTTCTTTCCTACAAATCAGAGATCGAGTGCTTTTGCCGCCGTTGTTCCTTCGTCGACTGAGATATCTAAACCATTAAGTCCTCCCATAAGTCCAGTAACTCACGAAGAGCCGAGACTTCGAAATCCATCTCCTCAGGGATTTAGAAGAGTTATACCCAGTAAATCCATTTACAGTGAAGATCATCAAGTTCCTCAAATATCCTCGACTGCAACACAACCACTGGAGTTAAAAACCCTAAAATTTCCTATTACTAGAAAACTAGAATCGCCTAAGAAATCTAGTGAACCTCTTTGTATAATTACCAACCAAGCCGAAAGATATAGACAAGCACAAATGAAAGAAGAGTCTGCTGCATTTGAGGAAAATCTCATGCATGGAATTAAGCGAAAGTATTCGGAATCCCAGGGACTGTTGACAGTAGCAAATGATAGTTTTTATCCCCCACCAGCTCCTAAAATTGTTAAGACTCTACTTCTGACTTCTGATTGTCAACCGTCTTCGTCATCCAATTATCGTTTGGATGATGTTACAAATAATGATAAAACTGAAACTTCCAGAAGTAAAGATGATAATTGTGAATCCAGTAATGATATGTGGAGGCCTTGGTGATAATGTTTTATAGATAGTGTTTATTGTAAATAAGAGTGTTATAAAGGTTATTTTTTAATTTATAGGTATACACATCCAGTGCTTCATAAAAACAAACTTACATGCCAAGTGGAAATAAGTAATAGCGAATGTTTCAAATTATTTAATTTGGAAAGAGTTCACAATTATAATATTAACTATCATTTTTCATTGCAAACGATACTTGTTTTCCAATACAATATTTTAAAAGTAGATAACTGTATGTAAACATGTAAATACGTTTCTAATTTGTTCCCTATTGTTTCATACACCTTAATCTTCTTTTTTGAATGTTAAATGTTTCACCTCCATGGAATGTTAAAAATTATGTCATCATAGTTGTTCTTGAATTTAGCCGATCAGGCAACCAGAGGTGTTTATCGGAGATCTTATATTTTTATACTATTTTTAATCTAAGTATTAGCTTTTTGGTTTGATCTCTTAAGTTTTTTAGTTTAATTGTGATACGTATTCACATAACGCTCATCGGTGACAATAGTGGCACATCCCAAAAAAATACAAATTTCCATACAACACCTAAATTCTATTTAAATTTTGATGAAGTTAAATATAACTAGATTTTCCTAACATTAATTGAGTTACTTAACAGTTATTCCGTCCACATGCTGCATTAACACCGGCCTATTTTTAGTATGTCGCTGAGATTCATAGACAGTAGCATTTACTTTAAAACTAACATATTTACTTCACAAAACATGCATCTAGTCTACAGAAGGTTATATAGCAAATTATTATTTAAAATAAAAGAAAATTATTATTTACTTGACGAAATAAACATGGAATGGAAACCAGGGAGGTGCGCTTTCGCTAGTACAAAAAGTGTTTTATGGTACACGGCAGATCCGGGCTTCTAGAGCGGTATCGGTGGGGAACTGGCATGTACACAGCCTACCGTTTCCAGAACCATCGGTACCACATTGATCAAAAATGAAGTAATAAAAAAAATATTGTTTCCTAATATTGGATACCCTATCCAACTTTTGCCACACCTTTAGTATATGTCGCCAGGTACATGCTTTAAATATACGACACATATGTGGAATTAAAGTTTCCTATCCTTTTCGTAGTGGAATGGGATATATTCCATCTACACCTGGGATTTGTATGGCTGAAATTTGTTTGTAGCCCATTTAATTTTGTTCGGCCTCGATATTTCTGTTGCTTGCCCCTACTTCAAAAAAGTTGGCATACTAGATCTTTAAGAGCTGTATGCTACTATCGGTTTTAACAAAATTTATGTGGCCGGAAAGTGTGCTTCTGTGAGCATTGATAACGTTTCCTTGAACGTTTTCGTATAGATTTCAATATCTTTCCTTAGAAATTCTACCTAATTTGCAGTATCCTCTTTAGCTAAGATTTTTTAGAACCCAGAGACTGTGGGTGCTTCAGATAACTCCTCATAGAACTTGCTCCACGATTGTCTTTTAGCCTTCCTTATCTCTTTGTTCTGCATGAGTTTAGTCCTATATAGGGCCCAGTTGTTTTGGTTATATTCAATAGCCTTCGCACTTCACCCCGTAGGTGTTCTAAGTGTTTGTTCCACCAGACTGTTTTTGTTCTCTGTTGTCTTGTTTTCTCCAGACAGTAATGTTTATTTGGATTAATGGAGATTTGGATTCATTAATAGTGACATATCTTTCAAATCGCACCTTTTTTAAAAACGCGATGTTAACTCAACAGATTACAAACATTTAGTAGACAAAATTCACTAGTGATTATAGCCATACTCACTAATGTTATTTAAATGACATATGCAACATGAAAATTCAAATACCTAAAACTTAATACTGAGTTTCTTCATAACGTTTATTTTTGAGTCACTATTGTCGCCGATGAGTTCCAATCACTAAACAAACACATGCATCAGAAGATACATTTACCCATTCTCATTATCTGACAGGTAATGTTCCGCTGCTTAGTGTTATTTAGCATAGGATTATCAATTATTCGTCTGGGTTCTGTTAAATTCTATGAAACTTGTGTTTGTCTAGTGTACCTCTACACTCCAGAGTCTAGTGGCTTGAAATTAAAAATTCTGCAAACTAATATAATGCGGCGGTTTTTATTTAATTTTTAAATTTTACTCAATATGTTTGCTTTTTTCTCGGTATTTGTCACTACATATTTTCTTAGTCCATTACTGTGATAATGAATGTACTTAATTATTTTGGTGTTTAACTTGTTTTTCGAATAATCGTGACTTTTATTGCAAAAATTAAAAAGAAATTGAGTAATATAACGAATAGTAAATATCACTTTTTATGTCTAAAACAATATTTAAACCTTCATTTTTTTGATAATGTCCCAAGTTATGTTTACAGACGTTTCACAATTTGACGTCAATAAGATCGTAAATAATTACTATGGAGGGTAGAGGAAAGGAGAACAATCTCTGTATACAAAAAATGTCCCTCAAAATGTATACAATTAAGATGGCGCTTCTGTGCCCAGGGGACGTCGACAGTCGATAATTCAGATCACACAATGACACCAATGATGTATATAGTAATAAATATTGCTCAACCATAAAAAACTAAAACTACACCGTGAAAAGTAGGTTCTTTTGTTCGCTGTTGGTGCAGTGTCCACCAGTGTAAATTACACCAGTTACACCACCTTATTTACCTTAGTTTACTTCCCTCCTTATTCCTTATACACATTTCGAGTGTAATTCACTCCTGCTAAATAGCTGGTGGAGAAAATATCCACCAGTGGACACCACATCGCCGGCAGGAAGGTTTAGTGGATTTGACACCGGGCCGAACGAAAGGTTTAGTGTACGTTGGTGTAGTTCATTCCTACACCAGTGGGACGAACGAAAGAACCTAGTGACTGATCGTAGAAGAGTAAGTGTTCTGTGATCGTAGATAAATTTTGACAATATACGACAATAGTCAAATTTTATTGAAAAATAATAATATAAACAATAAATAATTCTTATATTAAAATGGCACGGTGGTCTCAATTTACTGCTTCCTGTCTGATTTCATTATGAATGAGCAATCTATATGACTATATAGCATTGGATTTTGTCCCCTGGCTACACGAGCGCCATCTTAATTGTATACATTTTGGTGGCCACTTTTTAATATAAAGATCCATATAAGATTGTCCTCATTTTCTCTACCCTCCATAATAACTACATTAGTATTCTAATACAGGGCGACGGGAACCGCCAGGATTTGGGAGGGAGGAGGGGCAAAAGTTACAAATTTGTAAACCTAACCTTAATAGCGTACATGTTTTATTTAGTTAAATGTACAATTAAAGTGGTATAAGCCTATTTCCAATACGAGGATAGTTCACGAATTATTGTCCCTAACATAGAAGGAAACACATGCGAAGAATGAAACTAATTTATTTTTCAACATAGTCACCGGCAACGTTTATACACGGTATATCGTTGTGTGTTTCACACCTTTTTAAAAAAAAATTCAGAACTTTGAGTCTCCAGCCATTCATCTACCGCCGACATCACTTCGTTATCATCAGCAAAGCGGATTCCACAAAGATGTTCTTTTAATTTTGGGAATAGATGGTAGTCGCTGGGGGCCAAATCTGGAGATAAAAGAGGATGTTTAAAAATGTTGTGGGCCGGGGCGTTGTCCTGGTGAAAGAGCACACCTTGACTTAATTTTCCTATTCTCTTTTCTCTAATCGCTTGGCGTACGTTTGGTTTTAAATTCGCATAATATTCACCTGTTATGGTGCGCCCACGCGGTAAATAATCCAAGAAAATAACCTTCAAAATCCCAAAAACCTGTAGCCATGATCTTACCAGCTGATGAGGCAACACGAAATTTTCAAGGGGGGGGGGAACCCATATGCCGCCATTCCATACTTTTTTTGGATTCTGGATTAAAGTGATGAACCTATGTTTCGTCGACCGTAAGAAATTTTCGCTTAAATTCATCGGGATTCCTGTTAATAATCTTCAAATTTGTCTCCGCTGTAACTTAGCGAACAAGCTTCAAATCTACAGCATTCGTGGAACCCAACGTGCAGAAAGTTTTGTGATGCCCAATTTCTCGTAAATTTTTTTCAACGCTTGCAACAGAAAACCTATATGTCTATGCTATAGCCTTGACTGTAAATTTTCTGTCATTTAATACTATCTCATGGACTAAATTCACATTTACGAAGGGGCAGAGTCACCCAATACTTCTACCATGTCCTTATAAATTTCTTGTGGTGATAACCCTTTTTTACAGAGGTACGCATACCTCAATGGAAAAAAATTAATATTTAACAAACATGAACTGATGCGCTAATGCTATTTGACACACATTAATGCCAAACAATAAGCTTTTTCCTGTCACTGTATTCGTGTACTATTCTCGTAATTGGAGACACAAACAAGTTGCTATTTTTAAAACTTGGCTTAATTGTTTTTCGGAAAACTGGAGAGGACACTTCTGTTATGGAGAAACGTTACTCGGGCAATATTTATAAATTTTTCATTAAGTTGTAAGTACTACTTGATCTTTTTAACAAAACCGTTCACGGTCCACACTCCATCCTATGACTAGTTTTTGATATACAGTGTGTTGAAATTGTGATTTGGTCATTTATTAAATAGGTCGCACTTCTTTACAAAGTATTTTGATTACAGATGTTGATATTTTCCAAGAAAACTGCTTTTCTAGTATAACTTAGGACATAAATTATTAAATTATTAGTTACTTAAAAAGTTATTTAAAAATTTACTTTGGTATGGGCATATTCTCCAAATTAATATCACCAACCCAAAAAATTACTTTTTATCTGTCTCGCTCTATATTTAAAATTTCGCCTGTTAAACTGCGTTAATTTTTTTTGGATCTGCTACTGAAGTGTAAAAATTGTATCACCTTGATATGTCCCGATTTTGAGATATGGGATATACAACTTGGTAATTACATATATGACGAATTAAATAAACTCGCCTTCATCGCGTTTTATTGGTATTCATTTACAATACTTTTAAATTATATTTTTGATCGTGCGGAAGATCTACC